TATTTTTATTCCCTTTTTTCTCTGTATCTCATTATCTCAGTCTCTCTGCATTTCTGTACCTCTGTATCTCTGTCTCTGCATCTCGGTCTCTGCATCTCTGTACCTCAGTATCTGTATCTCAGTCTCTCTGTATCAGTCTCTCTGTATCTCAGTCTCAGTCACTCTGTATCTCAGTCTCAGTCTCAGTATCTCTGTCTCTGTATCAGTCTCTCTGTATCTCAGTCTCAGTCTCAGTATCTTTGTATCTCAGTCTTAGTATCTCTGTATCTCAGTGTTTCAGTGTCTGTATCTCAGTCTCAGTATCTCTGTATCCAAGTGTCTGTATCTCAGTGTCTGTATCTCAGTGTCTGTATCTCAGTGTCCGTATCTCAGTGTCCGTATCTCAGTATCTCAGTCTCAGTATCTCAGTCTCAGTATATCAGTCTCTGTATCTCAGTCTCTGTATCTAAGTGTCTGTATCTCAGTGTCTGTATCTAAGTGTCTGTATCTCAGTGTCTGTATCTCAGTGTCTGTATCTAAGTGTCTGTATCTCAGTGTCTGTATCTAAGTGTCTGTATCTCAGTCTCAGTATCTCTGTATCTCAGTGTCTGTATCTCAGTATCTCTGTATCTCAGTGTCTGTATCTCAGTATCTCAGTGTCTGTATCTCAGTCTCAGTATCTCTGTATCTGTATCTCAGTATCTCTGTATCTGTATCTCAGTATCTCTGTATCTCAGTATCTCTGTATCTCAGTCTCAGTGTTTCAGTCTCTGTATCTCAGTCTCAGTATCTCAGTATCTCTGTATATCTGTATCTCAGTGTCTGTATCTCAGTGTCTGTATCTCAGTCTCTGTATCTAAGTGTCTGTATCTAAGTGTCTGTATCTCAGTGTCTGTATCTCAGTGTCTGTATCTCAGTGTCTGTATCTCAGTGTCTGTATCTCAGTGTCTGTATCTCAGTGTCTGTATCTAAGTGTCTGTATCTAAGTGTCTGTATCTAAGTGTCTGTATCTAAGTGTCTGTATCTAAGTGTC